ATTCATATCAAAGTCCAAGTATTAGTTCAATGTCCCATATTTGATTCCATGATCTTCATAGAAAGGTCTTCTGCAATAGAATATGCTCCTATATAGCCGAGATATTTAAGATTGCTTGATTTTCCATACCATTACTCCATTGAAAGCTTCTGGTGTGATCCCAGATAGCAAGTCCATCTTCATTGTAAACAGGTCAGGACCAGCCTCTACCCCTTTTCCCTACCCCCGGCCTCTTTGTTGTTGGGCACCTCCTCTTGCTGATCCAGGGCCTCCTCTCTGTGAATAACCAGCTCCACCCCGGGGAGGAGAAGCCCCGCGACCTCCGGATGGAGCAGTGCTCTTGCTCCTCTACCACCCCTTCCTCTAGCTCCAACTTGAAAATCTTCATAACCGTAGTATGTTTCTTCATATCCACCACGATAGTTATGGTAATCGTAACCTTAATAATCATAAAAATCTTCATAGCCATAATAATCTGGAGGATATCCATAGCCACCTATACCTCCACGCCCTCGACATCTTGTTGGGGGTGTGGGGGGTGGCATATGAGGTGGACCATAATAGTAGTAATCATCGTACATTTGATTCTTCGCTTCTTGCCTCTGAGCTTTTCTTTCTTTCCTCTTCTGATCTGGTGGCTTAGCAAAAACAATTTCAATATTTTCTCCCTCCAAGTCTTTACCATTCATTTTCTCCATAGCCTTGACTGCACCATCTCTCTCATCAAAATGAATGAAAGCATAATCTTTCAGCTTCTTCACTCATTCCAGTTTCCCAAACTGACTAAACGACTTTTCTAAAATTTCTTCTGTTACAGTGTTGGCAAGGTTGTTCACAAACAGCACTTTTACCTTTGCCATAACTTCAGTATCAGGATCTTCAATAGGATCAGCCCATTCAACAGTTCCAACATTTCCCCAGACTTTGACTTTACCACTCATTAGCCTATGCCTTGCCTGGGCTGCTGTTTTGTGATCTTCATATTCAAGAAAGCAAAAGCCTGTTTTTTTTTTTTTCTTCTTGTCATCAGGTTGGTGGTATGAAATGACATCTGTGAGACTCTCTGTCACTTTACTAAATTCTTCAAGAATTTGTTTCTTGGTTTTACTCTTAGGAATAGAGCCCACAAAAAGCCTATTGTTGGCAACTGAGATGCAGATACCAATGTGCCTCTAAGAATGAATTTCATGATTATTATACAGTTTAACAGCCTCTTGTGATGCCTCTTTTATACAAAAAGTGACAAACGCATAACCTCTGTTGAGACCAGTAAGTGGATCCATCATTAAACGAAGATTCCATATAGGTCCAGCTTTCTCAAATAATGGAACAAGCTCATCCTCAAACAGATCTCTGGTGATCTTCCCCACAAATATCTCAGTGCCAAAAGAAGGCTGCTGGCATGAATAAACAGAATCTGGAGGTAGTCCTCCATAACTCCGCTGACCTGTAGTCATATCAAGTGTGTAGCCTGTTCTTTCCAAAAGTGCCGTAGTCTTTGCCGCATCTGGTCCTTTACTAGAGTCTGCTACGTTGGCCCCTTGTTTCTCTCTCTGCCTGTAAGTCTTTATGACTACACACAAAAAGGCGCTTTTGTTCTGAACATGGAAGAGATCACGGTCTTTAGACTGTTGAAGCACTGCCAACACACCATCTTCATTGAACTCTTTTAAAGCTGCGATAGCTCTTTCGTCTAAATCACTATGTGCAACTAGCCCTGCAAGGTAAATTTCATCTAGTTTTTCAGCAACTTTCTGTGGCAAACCAGCAACAAGCAATGTATGAAATTTTCTGAATGGATAACCGCTGAAGTAGTATCCATGGGCTCTTCAGTACCATTTCCATTAACATGTTCTGTAGCCATGTTTCCAGAGATCTCCCTGCAGGGTTGGGGCCGAGGAATCCTGTCCTACTGGGTTGGGTGGCGGGGAACACGTGCTCACTGTTCACTGTGTCTGGCTTGAGTCGATCCCTGACACTATTAATGATGCTCTATCATACTTGCAGACAGGAGCCTAGCTTAACTGGCCTCTGAGAGGCTCCACCCAACAGCCAATGGAAAGAGATGCAGAGACCTTCAGCCAAACATTAGATGGAGTTCGAGGAGTCTTACAGAAGAGTTGAAGGAAGGATTGAGGGACCCAAAGAAGACAAGTCCTCCACAGAAAGACCAACAGAGTCACCTAGCCTGGACCCTTGGGAGCTCCCAGAGACTGAACTACAAATCAAAAGTGAGCATGGGCTGTACCTAGGTGTGACCTGCGTGTAATCGTCTCGCCAGCAAGAACGCATGCGGGCACCAGGATCCTTCTGCAGCAAACGTTTATTCCAATGTAATGAGGAAGACCCCGGGCCCGGAAGAGGCACTGTTTATATACCCTTGGGGCGGCGTGTTCACTTCTGATTGGCTGCTTACTCGTTACCCACCAAAACACCCCGGGATGGGCTGTGACTTTGGCGCGCTTTTACCATAGCACATGCGTAGTTTACTTGTTTACTTGGAGGAGCACTGGATGCCAGCACCATCTTGTAATGGCTAATGCTGTCACCACAAGCCGCGGCTTTCTACACCTAGGGCCCCTGCATATATGTACCATGTGTAGCATAGGAGCAGCTAAATCTTCATGCAGGTCTCCCAACAGCTGGAGCAGGGGCTGTCCTTGAGTCTGTTGCCTGCTTGCATGCCTGCCTGTGGATCAAGATTCCTGAAATGGTCTGCCTTGTCTGGCCTCAGTGGGAGAGGATGCGCCTAGTCTGACTAGTCTTGCATCGACTTGGTGTGCAGGCATGGGTTGGAGGTGGGGCTAAGGGCAATCCCCCTTCACAAAGGAGAAGCAGAGGTTGGAATGGAGGCCAAAGCGGGCTGATGGGACCTCATAAAACTGGAAAACTTTGTAAGGCAAAGGACATAGTCAACAAGACAAATTGACAACCTACAGATTGGGAAAAAATCTTCAGTAACCCCACATCAGATAGAGGGCTAATATGCAAGGTATATAAAGAACTCAACAAGGTAACTACAAAACCCCTAAAAAACCCAGTAAAAAATGGGATATATAACTAAACAGAGAATTCACAACAGAGGAATCTCAAATGGCTGAGAAGCACCTAAGGAAATGTTCAAAGTCCTTAATGATCAGAGAAATGCCAATCAAAATTACTCTGAGATTCCACCTTACACCAATCAGAATAGCTAAGATCAAAACCTCAGGTGACAACACTCCTCCATTGCTGGTGGGATTGCAAACTGATAAAACCACTCTGGAAATCAATCTGGAGATTCTTCAGAAAATTAGAAATAGATCTACCTGAAGACCCAGCAATACCACTCTTGGGAATATACCCAAAAAATGCCCCACCATGCTATAGGGGAACGTGTTCCACTATGTTCATAGCAGCCATCACATATAGTGATAGCCAGAAGCTGGAAACAACCCAGATGTCCCATGACAGAAGATTCGATACAGAAAATGTGGTTCAGTTACACAATGAAATACTACTCAGCTATTAAGAATGAGGACATCCTGAGTTTTGCAGGGAAATAGATGGAACTAGAAAATATCATCCTGAGTGAGGTAACTCAGGCCCTAAAGGACATGCATGATATGTATTCACTAATAAGTGGATACTTTCCAAAAATAAAAAAATAAACAAAGAAAGAAAAGTACAGAATACTCAAGATATAGTCCACGGAACTAAAAAGGTCAGCAAGCTGAAGGGCTTGAGTTCCACTTGAGGGGGAGAAGAAAGCAATCACAAGTGTGGAGGGAGAGAGAGACCTAGGAGGGAAAGTGGGCAAGGGGTGGTGGTGGTGGTGGGGGGAACATGCTCTGGTATTGGGTAAAGGAAAAAGAATGAAGCCCTGAGGATCAGCAGAAAGAATGGAAACCAGTAACCTCATGAGGTAGGAGGTTGGGAGGACCCACAAGAACGCACCAGAGACCTGAGAGGTGAGAGACTCTCAAGACTCAAAGGGAGGGAACTTAGATAAAATACTGGACAGTAGGGAGAGGAACTTATAGAGCCCACCTCCAGCAGGAAGACAGGGCACCGAGTGAGGGAGGGGGGTTGCCATCCCACAGTCAAAACTCTGGCCCATATTTGTTCCTGTCTGAAAGAACTGCAGGGCTGGAAATGGAGAGGAAGATGAGGAAAAGAAGGTCCAGTGACAGGCCCAAAGTAGGATCCAGCTCAAGGGGAGGTCCCAAGGCCTGACACTATTACTGAGGATATGGAGAGCTCTCAAAAAAAGGACCTATCATGGCTGCCCTCCAGAAGACCCAACAAACAGCTGAAAGAGTCAGATGCAGATATTTGCACCCAACCAACGGACAGAAACTGCTGATCCCTGTGGTTGAATTAGAGAAAGGCTTAAAGAAGCTAAAGAGGGCAACCCTGTAGGAGGACCAGCAGACTCAATTAATCTGGACCCTGAGATCTCTCAAACACTGGACCACCAAAAATGGAGCATACACCAGCTGATATGAGGCCCCCCAACACACATACAGCAGAAGACTGCCGGGTCTGGGTTCAATCAGAAATGATGCACCTAACCCTTAAGAGACTAGAGGTCCCAGGGAGTTTAGAGGTCAGGTAGGGTGGGGGCTAGAAAGTGGGGAGTGGGATATGGGAACATCCTCATGGATGGAGGGAACATGACAATAGAACAAACTGGACAACTCTCTCAATTCAATTCCAGAAAAGCAGCCTAGTGGCAGAATCTCATCTGTAGATATAAAGTAAGCTCTTTCTTTTTAAAAACATTAGCTAGATTATAATATAGAGAAGATGGAACAGATCACAATCAGAAGAAAATATCACACTGTAATTGTGGAGAAAGGCTGATGGCAGCAGACATTGATTTTACCTTGCTTAAAAAAAAAATCCTGTCCTTTCCCGTTCCAGCTTGACCGAACCAGGCTCTTAGGCCAGTGACACCCAGAAATTAAGAGGTTTTTAAAACCCGGGAGATCACGGACGGCTGCTCCGCGGCTGTCAACATGCCACAAAATGAATATATTGAGTTGCATCGCAAACGATATGGCTATTGTTTGGACTACCATGAGAAAAGGAGAAAGAAAGAAGGTTGGGAGGCCCATGAACGTTCAAAGAAGGAAAAAAAAAAGAAAAAAAAAAAGATTGGCCTGAAGGCTAAGTTCTACCATAAACAGCGCCATGCCGAGAAAATACAAATGAAAAAGATTATTAAGATGCATGAAAAGAGAAACACCAAGCAGAAGGATGATGAGAAGACTCCACGGGGAGCAGTGCCTGCCTGTCTGCTGGACAGAGAGGGGCAGTCCAGAGCAAAAGTACTTTCCAACATGATTAAGCAGAAACGAAAAGAAAAGGCAGGAAATTGGGAGGTTCCTCTACCCAAAGTTCGTGCCCAAGGAGAAACGGAAGTATTGAAAGTTATTCGAACAGGAAAAAGAAAAAAGAAGGCGTGGAAGAGAATGGTTACCAAAGTCTGCTTTGTTGGTGATGGTTTTACAAGAAAACCACCTAAATATGAAAGGTTCATTAGGCCAATGGGTCTACGTTTCAAAAAAGCCCATGTCACACACCCTGAGCTGAAGGCTACTTTTTGCCTGCCTATACTCGGTGTGAAAAAGAATCCATCATCCCCGTTATATACAACCCTGGGTGTGATCACCAAAGGTACAGTTATTGAAGTGAACGTGAGCGAGTTGGGCCTTGTGACACAAGGAGGCAAGGTTATTTGGGGAAAATATGCCCAAGTTACCAACAATCCTGAAAATGATGGGTGCATAAATGCAGTCTTGCTGGTTTGACAGTGACATCATACAAGTCATTCCACTCACTAGGAAGACTACATGCTGTCAGGAAAACACCATCGCTGTGACCTTTCTGAACTACCATGCAGCCTTACCCCATGTGCAGTCATCAAGAAGTATTCATTAAGGTGTAAAGGAAAATAAAACACTGCCCTATTTTACAGTTGGTCTTTGGTTTGGGGGCCTAATGACTTACATGTTAATAAAATTTAGTGACTGAGTAGCAAGTATACAAAAGCATACTAAGGACTAGGTATGCAGCAATACAGGTCTGTCATTACTTGAAAATCAGCCACCAGTGTAGCTGAAAGTTCCTGTAAAGGTCAAGTATTTCCTAGCTCAGTGCCATTAATCCTGAAATGTGGAACATTTTAAACACATAGTAGTGTTTAAATTCATAAAATATTATATTAGAAGTCTGAGAGACGGTAAATTGAATGAAAAAGTTTCACAACTCAGTTTTTCACTCGTAATTAATGCTTTATGGGGTACTTTCAGTGAACTCAAGTGTATTTCCACCATTTGCCATATTCTAAAACTAGGGAGTACGCTTATTGAGAATTGGCTTAGATAATTCTTGACCATGTACCAGTGACTTGAGATGTGGCAGCTAATTAGAATTGAAGGTCATGATTTGAGATTGTAACTTAATCCACGTTCTTAAGAGTATATGTATATTATATTAATTTGTAATCACCATATTGCTTTAAATTGTTTATTTTGTTTAAATCTACTTTCATAATACAGGCAATGTGATTAGTTGTGTCTTTAACAGAATCATTCAGTGTCTAACAATATCTTAAGCACATCTTCATGAATGAAACTTGGGGAAAAGAAAATTTAAAACACAAGACTAAAAAACAATCACAAAATATAGGTGTAAGTACTATTTTAAACAGTAAGAGGGAAAAATAATGTAGCAAAGAAACAAACCATAAGTTCTCCATAAGGCTTGGTATTCTGAACATTTTTTTTTAAGTTTTAAGAATATACAAAGATAATAAAGGAAAAGGAAGGCTGGTTCCTTGGAAATGATTGACCAGTAAAGACAAAATCACTTCAGGACCTTTCTTGTAATTAGATTTTACATTTTCTACCAATAAAAATGGGCAATGTGTAAAAAAAAATCCTGCACCATTAGTTTAAGGAAAATCTGAAGTCTGAAGCATAGATGAGGATTTTTGAAGCTTCAACATATGTAGTAAAGGATTTTGTCATTAACTATTTTGAGAATCAAAGTAGGTATATAACATATAGAAGTTGGAAGTCAGAACTACTTGTTTTGATTTGTTTCTATGCTCACAGACAAGTTACCTAGAAATAATTAATATATTAAGGTTCCTTGTAGCTTTTTTTGGGAATAAAACCTATAATGATAGACACAAAAATAGAGAATAACTATAAAAAAGAGAGAGTTAGAATAACCACAGATTGTTTTGAAACATTTTCTGCATGTCTAATTTCAGAACCTATAATTTAAGCACATACAAAATGGATAAAATATTATTAAATTGGAAAAATCAAGCATTTTCTATGAATTATGTTTATTGAGTTTTTAGTTATTTTTGGCTTTCTTCCTAATTTGGGTTATCACACATAAATACATTTAAATAATATCCAGGGAAAAAACAAACCAGAATCTAGGAGAATAGGGATTGACATGAAAAATGTGAGTGAATGAATAACTGGAATGCTTAACTCTTGGTACAGATAACCTAAAAATTGGCAAAGAACTGAGAAGCAGAATTTCTGATATTGTTTGTGCACTTTTTGTTTGTGGAAAAATAGACATATACACAGAACTCTAACGAGTTCATCTAGGAGCAGAGAAATATGCATTATTGAAATGATGGGGAACACAAATGGCCTTAAAAGATTACTATATCATTCTTACATGGGGTATTTTTATAAAAGTTAAGTATTTTCTTGGTGTGCACAGGGCCAGAAATTTGACTTCTCTAATTTTATAACTGAGGCAACTAATAACTCTTTTTCTTTAACTATGAACTTCAAATGGGAAAGGATCTGTTTTAGGAGACAAAGTTCTTGTAAATTTACAATATAGAATGATTTTCAGAAATAGAATTTTAGAGAGAAGAGGTTTCTAATTTTTATGGCCTTTAAGTAAGAAAATAAAGAAGAGCCTGCAAGATTATAGTTGATGGATGTGCTGGAGGACAAAAATAATTCAAGCATTCTTTTAGAAGCTCAAGTTTTGCAGAACAAAAGAGGTTCTGAGACCACTGAGCCCCCCAGGGGGCAACTCTTATCTTCAAGACTCAGAAGGCACAATCCCTGTGCATCTCAATGACTTTTGGTTATTTATTTATTTACTTATTTACTTATTTCCTTTTTTTTTACACTCTAGATTTTACTCCCCTCTCAGTCCACCCTCAGACTGTTCCACATCTCATATCTCCTCCCCACCCCCTGTCTCCACGAGAATGTCCACACCCCACCCTCCCACTCCACTAGACCTCTAAACTCCCTGGGGCCTCCTCCAGTCTCTTGAGAGTTAGGTGCATCTTCTCTGACTGAACCCAGACCCAGCAGTCCTCTGCTGTATATGTGTTGGGGAACTCATATGAGCTGGTGCCTGCTGCCTGGTTGGTGGTCCAGTGTCTGAGAGATCTCGTGGATCCAGGTTAATTGAGACTGCTGGTCCTCCTATAGTATCACCCTCCTCCTCAGCTTCTTCCAGCTTTTCCCTAATTGAACCACAGGGGTCAGTAGCTTCTGTCCATTGGTTGGCTGCAAATATCTGCATCTGACTCTTTCAGCTGCTTGTTGGGTCTTTCGGAGGGCAGTCATGATAGGCCCCTTTTTTTGTGAGTGCTCCATAGCCTCAGTTAATTTTTTTGCCTCACTTCCTTCCTTTTTAGATTAGCTGTCTTAATTGTAAACACCATTTTTTTTGGCGGGGGGAGGAGAGGAGAGTTCTTTAATTATCTTCTTAGTTTTATTCTACCCATCTTCATAATTGTTGGGCTATCTTAAACTCCATATTCTTTTCTAACATGAAAAATTCAGTTGCTCAAACAGTTGCTGTTCTTTCCAGAAAGTATCCAGAAAAGAGAATTTATGCATATTCATAAAGGACACATTTGTTTTTTGCTGTCTGAAACCTTGGAGCCATTACTATATTGTTTTGGATGCATAGAAAGGTTATTTTGATGTGAGAGCTTTTATGCTTACAAAGACAACCTTATTTTTCTGTTATTTTGCTTTTCCTTTACAGTTTTGATTTTCAAAAGTTGATAAATTTGTCCTTTGTGATAGAAAAGCCTGCTTGGTCCTGTTTAGTCATGGGATTTTGCAGTATTCTGATAGAGTGCCTTTATAAATGCCTATCAAGGCTTAAACGATTTTTGTTTCTGTTGCCTCTTAGACCTCATCTACAGGACCCTCATTTCCTGCACACTTATCCTCTTTAACCTCCTTATGGTTCTTTGGACATTGAAAATAAGTTCATACCTTAGAGTTCTTGCTCTTGTGCCTCCATCAAATATCTCCCCAAATAACTTAGTGATTTCTTCACCATTCATTCATTTCCTCATGTTCCTTTTCACTTTGAATGATGAGCAAGAACTGTCTCATGAGTCCCATTTTAGAATCACATTCCCAATACTGCTCTGTAGATTCTTGCTTAAATTTCCTACAGAATAAAGCCAGCATTTGAAATCTGGTCTTTTAAGTGTCTACTTTTAATTGTATATTTATATCTGTCAAAATATAAATCTAGGAGATTAGATACTTTAAAAATACATTTGACTTTTGTCTCTACTTAGTAGCATATAAAATGTTTCTTCATGCACAATGAATGAAATTAATTCATAGATATGAACTCTTTCAACTAAATCATTAATCAACTAAGAAATCTTTCTTTTCAAATCAGTCAGCATAAAAGCATACCAGATATAAAATATATGAATATATGGTTATGACGAGGATGTGACAGGTCAAGTGCTGTTTGATTCAAATATAAAAGAATGAACGATGAATGATATATTTGAAATTATAATGCAGAGAAAGATGATTTCTTGCTTGGGCAACAAAGTCAGAACATCTTCTGTGCAGTAGCCATGGTCTACCCTGTACGTGTGGTAGATAAGACCAGTTGTTCTGACTTTTGTGAAAGGGTGGTTCACATCTAATGCACTAACTTGGCACATCGACATCAAATGCTCTTGCTTCTGTGTTTGACCAGGTGTGACATGTATGCCAGTCGACTGGATTTCTTACAATTGCTTGTGTTAGAGGTCTGCAGCAACTCTTCTTTCCAGCAGTGCTTTGTCATTTGTAACAAAAACACTTGTGGCCAACAGAATACCGTTCAAATTTTGTAAAATGCTCAGGTAATGGTTGCCTTCCACAGTTAATTTACTTTTTCATAGTGAGTGAATATGAATGCATGATTAATAAGAATATTCTCATTTTTCCCTTTAGGTAACATTAAAGCAAACCTCTTATTTGGGCCAATGATTAGAACAAACCATTCTGCAGTGTCTGAATTTGTGCTGTTGGGACTCTCAAATTCCTTGGAGATCCAGGTTTTTCTTTTTTTCTTTTCTTGTCTGTTCTATTTGTCCAGTTTGACAGGAAACTTCATCATAGTTGTTACAGTCACCTCTGACTCCTACTTGCATTCACCCATGTACTTTCTACTGGCCAATCTCTCTGTTGTTGATCTTATATTTTGTTCCATTGCAGCACCCAAAATGATTTGCGATCTTTTCAGAAAGCAGAAAGTCATCTCTTTTGGAGGCTGTATCAGTCAGATCTTTTTTAGTCATGCTGTTGGAGGCACTGAGATGGTATTGCTCATAGCTATGGCCTTTGACAGGTATGTGGCCATATGCAAACCTTTACGCTATCTGACCATCATGAGCCCACGCATGTGCCTGCAAATATTAGTTGCTTCTTGGATCATTGGCCTCATCCATTCATCAGCCCAGTTGGCTTTTGTTATAAACTTGCCATTCTGTGGCCCTAACGTACTAGACAGCTTTTATTGTGACATACCACGACTCATCAGGCTTGCATGCACAGATACTTATAAACTGGAGTTCATGACTACTGCCAATAGTGGGTTCATTTCCTTGATTGCGTTCTTTTTACTCATTATCTCCTACATCTTTCTGCTCACCACTGTCCAGAAGCAGTCCTCAGGATGTTCTTCCAAGGCCCTTTCTACTTTGTTGGCTCATGTTATAGTTGTAGTTT